GTGTTCGCGTTGTGATCCTCGTCGCGGAGATACCAATTCAATCGCAGCATACGTCTCTGCACTCCCTGCAGTGTAAAAGGCCTTTTCTTGGGTCAAACCCACGAAATGCAACTGTACAGAAAAGACGCGGAGACGGACATATTGAACAGGGTCAGACGGGAATGCAAGGAGAAACTGTTTGTTGAACTGGTTTCGGAGCTGACTGAACGTGCGCCATCCATAAGCACTTCTGTTTGAGAACTCGGCGTCTCGTTGGTCGCGGTGACAGAACATGCGCCCCAAATACTTCAAGCCCACGTCGTGATCGAGGGTCTTGATGTTGACGTCACTGGCCTGAAGGTGCAGTCTCACGCGCCCCGTTCAAAGACTGATGATGGTGACGGTTTTGATACCATCCGGTTGCAGCTGGAGCAAAAAGGTGCCGCCCTGGTAGGTCCCGGGGCAGAAAGGTGGGTTGCCAGAGGTTGGGCGCGAAGAGCAGGACGTCGCCAACGGAGCGTGAATTAGTCTAACGAGTGCCGCGTGAGACCCCAAGCTAGATGCCAACGCCCTTGCAGTGCAAAGAGGTCTTTCAAGTGCGGCAGAAGTAACTCCATATTGCATGGAACAAATAAGAGCTCAACATACCTCCCTGCCTCACACCTACTCAAAACTCAAATATTCAAGAGACGGCTTGTTTTGTCCGTTCTAACGTTAGTTGCCTGTTCCGCGTAGAGCCAGGCGGCCCCAGCATCGAATCGATAAGCCGGATCGGGTCGACCGGAGCATCGAATCGGCAGAAATCGGCAAAAGCCGGCAGCCAAATCGAAATCGGCTGAAGTCGGCAGGTCCGAGCCGGATCGAGTCGGAAACCGGACCGCGTCAAGCCGGATCGGAATCGAAATCGACCCCCCCCCCTGGGAGGGGGGTTTTTGGACACCCCGCCTGGGGGGGGGGGGTTGAACCCCCGGGGCCCCTGGGGGGGGGGGGGGTTGGACCCCCTCCCTGAGGGGGGTTTGGGTTTTTGAGCCCCCCCCCCTTGGGGGGGGTTTGGAGGCCCGGGGCTTTTGGACCCCCCCCTCCCTGGGGGGGGGTTCGGGCAGGGCTTTTGGACCCCCCCCTTGGGGAGGGGTTTGGGGTCCCGGGGCTTTTGGACCCCCCCTGGGGGGGTTTGGGGTCACGGAACTTTTGAACCCCCCCCCCCGGGGGGGGTTTGGTGTCCCGGGGCTTTTGGAAAGCCCGCCCTTGGGGAGGGGGGGTTGGGACTCCCCCCTGGGGGTTCCTCCTCCCTCCTCCTCCTCCCCTTTGGGGCCAGAGCCGGAGCGAAGCCGGATCGGCAAAAGCCGGCAGGAGTCGGCTGACGCATCGAATCGGCAGAAGCCGGATCGGGCGAACTCGAAATCGGAATCGCGAATCGGAATCCCGGAATCGAGTCGGTTCGAAATCGGAGTCGCGGAAATCGATTCGAATCGAACCGGCAGAATCGGAATGACCCCTGGTAGAGCTGTCGAATCAAATGTATGTAAGCTAGTGGCTCTCGTTGACCGCGAAACGCTGCCCATAACTGTTTGTTCGTGGCCAATCGAATCGAACGCCTTGATAAAATCCACCGCCGATTCCCATAAAAATATTTGCCATTCGTGGGACCGTTCTTGTACCAACGCCGTGGTAAACACATGGTTCTCCGTGCCGGAAGCCTTCCCGAATCCATTCTGGTCGGGGCTTCGTTCCGCATTGAAAGTGATGCCGAGGCTGTTGAAAAGGAGTCGCGCCATCAACTTGTACAGCACAGGGATGATAGCGAGCGATTGTTATGTGTGTTTCGGAGGTGCGGGCGAGGAGGGAGGGCGGGGGAGGAAACGATGGAGAGCGGGATGGAGAGGCGAGGAGAAAAACCAGGAGAGACGCGGAGAGACTGGGAGGAAGGAAGGGGAGGGACAGGAAATACGTGAGGGGAGCTATGGCTGAGGAGCTACGGAGGGGAGGAGGGAGGGGGAGAGGGAGGGCGTAGGGGGGAAGGAGATGGAAACGGAGAGGGAGGCATGCAGCGATACTCCCGTGAGGGAGTGAGGCAGGCAAACAGGGGAGGCGAGAGAGAAGAGGGATACGGAGGGAGGAAGGGTGAAGCGTGGGCCCCTGAGAGGACAGGGAAGGAAGGCCGCAGTGGAGGGGAAGAGGAGGGACGGGAGAGGACGGACGGGAGAGGGGCGAGGGGGAGGGGAGGGGGACCCATTGGGCCGTGACCCATTGGGTCGGTTCCCGCGCATACGCGGCGCTCCCCCCCCTCTGCGGTCGCCTCCGACCTGACAGGCCCTGCGGGCCCTCGCAGCCAGCAAGGCCCCGCGGACAGCGCCCCAAAAAGGCGCTGCAGCTTGGGATAGGGGAGGTCGGAGAGGGCACGAGCCCCCCCCCCCCCTGCTTCGCGAAGCGCACGGGGTGGCGGCACGAGGGGGGACGACCTCACCAGCGGCGAACAGGTCCGCATCCGCGCCCGGCCCTCGCTGTCTTGGGCTCCGGGGCGCGATTCCGCGGAGGCGCGGTCGCCGGGAGAACTTCCGCGCGGGGGGCAGCCGAGAAAAAAGCGGCCCGTGTCCGCAGGGTCGCAGCCCAGGAGCCTGGCCCGCGAGGCCGCGGATGCGGATACGTTTTTCGTCCACGGCCGCGGCCTTCGGAATGATGCGAATGCAGAGGCCTTCTCAGAAGCGCCTGGATGCTTCTGAGGCGCTTGCTACAGGTCGGGAGGGCTTCCGAGAGGCCACCCCAAGCGCATGCCAGAGAACCCTCGCTCCCGGCGGACTCTCTGGCATGCGCGGGCCGTTTTGCAGGATGCCTGGAGGGGCGGTGTGCTACGCAAGATGGGATTCAACAATGTTCCCCTGATCTCTCTGCCTATGCTCCCTGTTGCACTTGCACCGTGCGACTCGAAACGCGCTAAGCCAGGAGCTTCTCCAGCTTCTCGGCCCCAAACACCTCGTTGACGGCTGTGGAGAACCTTGGCGTTTACAAGTGGGGCGGGAAGTGCACATGCGGTAGCGCAATCCCGAGACAAGCGCAGAGGTGGGTGCGAGCGAACTTATGCCAGCAGAGCCTGCAAGTGGGCTCAAAGAGTCACGCCTACTCCCGTTGAGGCATTTTAGAGCCGCCCTACGATGATCTCCAGGCTCGACTTTCCTTGCCTGATGTGTACCTGATTGTGGACTGAAGTCAGGAAATCGTCCTCCCCTAATGACTTGGTAGGTCGGCGCGGACCAGACACCTACCGAGAAGGTGGCTGGTGGCCAAATGCTTTGTGTACATCGGATCACCGCAGGGCGCAGAACAGTGACCATCCGCAATCCAATTTCAATAAGTCTGTCCAGCATGCTGGAAGGCGCAGGGCGCGAATAAGCAAACCAGCACAATCGATTGGCAATGGCAGGTAGCATTGGTGTGAAGTCCACGGATGGCTTCTAAGCACAACAACTGTTGTTAGCACGTCAACCAAAGGGACCTGGAGCTTGAAGAGGAACGATATCCCCACGCCCCATTGCGCGGACAACTTGTGATCATGTCAATGCGGGGCACCCGGAAGTCCCGACCATTTCCCCGGGGCCTGCTTTTAACACCAGATAACTTTTTGACTGTCCCGAAGCTCGGCGACGGCCCCTAGAGGCTGCGAAACGGACCAAAAACCACCCGTGGTGATTTTTCCGCGCGCACTAAGGCTGACCACGACACCTGACAAGCGGGCCAGAGCGGCGTGCGGCGGCCTCTGCAGCAGGCATGCTCGCCAGCATCTCTGTATCTCTCTCTCTCTCTCTTTCTTTCTGTCTCGCTTTCTCTCTCTCTCTCTATCCCTCTCTCCCTCTCTCCCTCCCTCTCTCTCTCACTGAGACCATCGGGGAGGATCGCTTCCCAACCATGCTCGCGTCATAAAAAACGCGGCGAGAGGTGTGTCATAGTTTGGGGACCCTCGCCGGGACCCGAAATCGTCAAAACAAACTCGGAATAAAAAGGGTCGGGACTTTGGGGGGCCCCGTATGGAAAGCAAGAGCATCAGATGTGTTGGCCTAAGGCCATCGGGGACGATCGCTTTGGTGCTGCCCGACGACCACAGGCTCACAGATGAGGCAACAACATCGTCGGACATGCGAGCTGTACATCGCAGGGGTCCTCTCACGGGCGTCGCGGAGTGGCTTCAAGAGGCTCTCCCAGGAGGAGCCTCCAAGCTGAGCAGATAGGGCGAGGGCTCGCAGGGTAGGGCGAGAACGAGGAAGAGGAACGATGAGGGAAGGAGAGAGAAGAACAATATTCGGGTCGGGCGAAAGGGGGGGATAGCAAAGGGGGGGTTTGAGAATCAGCTCACGTAGCTGATTTTCCCGGCGCCTCCCGGCGCCGGAGGCGGCTATGTATCGAGGAATGGGCCCCTCGGTGAGGCCGAACCCAGCTGCATGCAGCAAATTTCGTACCCCCCCCCTTTCCCAATCCCCCCCTTTCCCCCGGCCCGAAATATGAGATCGACGATGCCGAGATCGGCAGAACATGATTGTCGCTGATCTTAAAATCTAAATGCATTTCCATATAGAGCTAGCATCCCGCCTGCATGCCAAACTGGAAGGAACAAAGTGAATGGTCAGAAACTTCCGCGGTGAGGATTACTGTTATGTGTCGTGTTGTTTGCTGTTTGTTGTTGTCGTCCTCGCCCGCTCCCCGCCGGCGAACCACCCTCGACCCATCCGCGACTGGCCAGCTACCCACCTGCGATCCTTCCACGACCGACCCACGACCCACCCGCAAACCATTCACGGCCGACAAACACAGGTTCGTCAAAAGCTCGGAGCCCATGGCGGGCTCGTGACGCAAAGTGCAAAAGTCGGCAGCTGCGGCAAGCCTCTTCAGAGCCTCGCAGACTGCAGACGAACCCGCCGACCCCTCGCTCTCATCTGCAGCTGCGACGGATCTGCTAAGTCCACTTCCTCTCCCTGCCACGCATGCGCGCTGATGCTATGGCCCACGGCATGCTCGCAGCGCCCCTGTGCCAGCTAGGGCTGCGTCTTCTGGTAATTCACAATCTGCGGCACCTTGACGAGCGGACCCTTCTCCGTGTAGTGGTCCGCCAGTGCCTCTCCGTCCGAGACCTTTGCAGGCACGGGCAGGAAGATACGTTCAGGAACTACGATGTGCTCTCGCGAAGCATCTTGGGGGCAGCTCGAGCATGACTTCAGACCGACAGAAGTTCCTCAACCGCCAGACGGGGCATGTCCGCATCAGTTCTTCTTCATGGGCTCCACAGGGAGTCCCGCGCAACAGTGCGGCGCGAGTCGGGCGCTCGGTCACGCCTCGTTGGTGGACAGTCGGACGGGCTTCCTGTAAAGCAAAGGTCAGAGGAACATCGAGCAACACAAATTGTGTATTTCCCAAACCTTCAACGTCGTGAGTGTGCGAAAACGTGGAAAACGGAAACTCGGGCTCCTTCCAAGGGGCGAACATTTCATCACGAGCCGTGTTATGATCGCCGCGGGGTACGGCAAGGACCCCCAGAAGACAAACTGGGCAAACACCTGCTCCACTCGAATTGGAACGGTATGGGTCCCCATCCCGCTTCTCTTTTCTTCCCCCCCTCCGCCTCGTGAACGCCCCGCTGGATCACGGCCATGCTGTGTGCTGACCTTGCCCTGGCCTCCTCCAGCCAGCCAGCCCTGCTCACAGCGCATGCCCAGACCTCCTCGCGCCATCAACAAATAACGACGTTCGTGAAACAAATGTCGTGGATGAGACCCAGCCGAGAAGCTTTCGGCAGTCACGGACTGGTCCCTGGGGGAAGGGTCGGGACCTGTGAGGGTCCCCGCTGTAAGAAAACAGCAGCATGGTCGAATATCTGGGAGCTCCTCAACCCGTCTCTTCTCCCTGCCTGCTCGGCTTCTCGCAAGGGTGACATTAAATGCGTGGCTAGCCTATGATTGCATGCAATGCGAGACACTAGCGGCCTGCGGGCTTGTATTATTGCCCCCCCCCCGCGCTCCCCGAAAGCCGCGAACCAGAGGCCACTGCGGCGAAGGGTCACTCTTACGTGTAGCCGAGCGTAGCAGAGGTAGTAGCGTCCGCAGTCGGGCCCAACCGCAGTTGCTGCTAAGGAGCTTCTCCTCCTCCTCCTCCTCCTCCTCCTCCTCCTCCTCCTCGTCTCGTCCTCCCGAGGGGGAGGCCTGCCACCTGTTTTCATGGTGTCAATGCCGAGCACCCTTGGGGCACACTGTACACGGCACTTATTTCGCAGGTTGGGCGGGGTGCAACCAGCCGATTTTTCTGGAACCGCGGGCTCTGGGGCTTAGGGTGGACGTTGCGAAACCTGTATCGACGAGTCTCCCGTCGTTGGGTGTAGCACGGCCCCAGTCTCAGCCTGGCCCTGCTGGTGAAGGCGGGTAGCGGCGCCTGTGCGGTCATTTCAATGTGATCTGACCCTCAGGGATCGGCATTTCCTCGGGAGGCGGTGGCTTGTGCCACGTAAGTCCCAAAGGGCCTTGTGCCCACCCAGGGCTGGGGAGCTTGTGCTCCTCAGTATGCCGTGCCAACTGTTCCGACTGGGATGCCTTTGGCTCCCAACGCACCATGTCGGAACCGCTGGGCCGCGAGTCTTCACAGGCGACGTGGTCACCCCCTGTGCCTTTCCTGCGCAGCTGTTGCTGCTTTCGGGGCGGTAGTTCGTTGGCTGGGCGTGTGCAATACACGCGCGGCCTTCGGGAGACCGACCCTGGGCGCTGGACTCCTCCTCGTCTCGTCGTGGTCGTCGTCGTCGCTCTGCTGCACGCTGGCCCTTAGAATTTTCGCTTCTCGGTGTCTTCCGAATCTGCCCCGCGGCCCCCCCGAAAGCCGCGAACCAGATGCAGCTCCGGCGCAGGGTCACTCTTGCGTGCAGCCGAGCGTGGCCTCGTCGTCGTCGCTCTGCTGCATGCTGGCCCTTGGGGTTTTCGCCTCTCGGAGCTTTGCGAATCTGCCCCGCGGCCGCGGGGGACGGAGCTGCTGAGAACTCCGTCTGTGGGAAACTCCTCTGCTCTCGGGGGCCAGGTGCTGCCCCAGTGTCCCCGATTCTGTGACGCCTTCAGGAAGGCGGCACCCTCCAGGAGCCCATTGGAACCTTAGATGATGAGGCATAAAAAAGACCTCTAGCCCTTTGGGAGGCGACCTAAATTAGGAGGGCCGCAAACAGTAGGGATGGAGGGTCTTTTCTATAGATGTGTCGAACCAGACCGACCATAATTACCATCCCCAATGCAAGGACGGGCACCCTCAGTGAGGCCACGTCTTGATTATGTGATTAGGGTTCGGAAGTATTTCATCCTCGATGTTTAAGGGGAGCCCTCCAGAAATCCATTTATACCTTTACGCAACGGACCGCGGAGGCAAACTCCCAAAGGCAAGCCTTGTGTGTAGAAGCCTGTGCACGCTTCCCTCCAGACCGTCTGCCTCCACCCTGGCAAGCTCACTCCGACTCTTCCAAAAACGCCCCCGCATGTTTTGATGGCTCCGGCCCGAGAGCCGCCCAGCGCCGTTGCGAGCTGGGCCCACGACCTTCAGCGACGGCACAATCCGGTTCACCCCGCGCACAAACTGCGACGGCGTGCACCGCCCAGACCGCAGAGGATCGAAGTCGGCGAAGCAGTCCTGCCCGCCAGCGCCGCGACCGGCGACGACGACGACGACCGCGACGACGACGACGACGACGGCGACGGCGACAACGACGACGTTGACGACGACGACGACGACGGCGACGAGCTCTCTGTGGCGGCCTTTTTCGGGCATCCCGGGGTACGGGCACCCCGGGCCGCCGCCGCCTCGCGAGCAGGGTTCGGTTTAGGTCGGGCCAGTCCTCCTACAGGGGGATTTTGGGCGCGAAAAATTGAAAATACCCAAAAGTAGCCCCGAATACTCGAAATGGTCAAATTATCGTCCCCAGAGCATTTTTTAACTATCAATGAATATCCCGCCTGTAGACGCACAGGCCCGACTGAAGGTCAGATCGAGGCACGACTCCGCGCCGGCGAATGCGGACACACCCTGGCGGTGGAGGCACGCGGGCACGCGGGGACCCGCAGACGCGCCGAGAACGGACGGCACACGCCGCCGTCGGCGCTCGGCGGAGCTCGCGCGGTCGCGTGCAGGCAGCGGCGCGTCAGGGCAGCTCCCAGCCCCGCCAGGCTTCGCGCACGCTCGGCACCGCAGATGCTCGGGGGGCCGCGAGCACGGAGGGGGGGAGGAGGAGGAGGTCCGAAGAGGTTCTCTCAGCCTCTGGAGGTCACCCACCTCTGGGGTGCTCTCCAGCACCTGCGCCTCAGCGAAGGCGCTCCGAGGGGGGCCCGAGTCCTCTGGAGCTGCGGCCCGAAAACCACACCTTCTCGCGCCGCGAAGGAAAACACGGCCAAAGGGCGTTCGTGTACCCTTCGGTCTCTGGGTGGCCTTGCCGAGCTCCGGAGCAATCAAGCACAGCTCGGCCCGGGGACCTCCCGGGGGCCACGTGGTGCAAAGAGACCAGCCGTCGGAAGTCTGGAACGACTCGCGCCGCCCAAAAGAATCCCGCTGCTCTGGAGCCCGCCTCCCGCGTTTGTGCTGTTAAGGCCGCCTGTTCTCCTCAGCACGGTCTGCCGTCAGTCCTGCCTGGACCCTCCTCAACCTCTCCACTGGGCGGCCTCTCTTTCTGCATGCCTTGACGCGAAGGTCCCGCTCGTTCTCTCGTTCTCGAGTCTGGGGTCCGCGCTGCACGCCGCAACACCTTCACAGACTTGCGCGAAGAGCCACATGCAGTGCGACAGCAACGAGGCGCACCTCGCGCAGCCAATCGATGCACGCTGTGTCAGGTGGCGTGACGGGGCGCCGCCCGGGGGAAGAGCAATGAACCTCGAATTGGTAGATCGGATCGGGGCATGCACCGAATGCGGCCAAATCGGGACAGTCGGAGTCGAATCGAATCGGCCAATGCAAAATGCAAAACAGCGCCATGCAAACATGAGGCCGCATCGGATCATCGGAATATCGGAGTCATAGTGGACCGGGTCGGCAGAAATCGATACCGATGTCGAATCGGACCGATCCGATCGAAGTGGATCCTGGCGGGAGGAACATCGGATTCATGCCTCTACGCGGAGCCATTGAGATGGATGCCACTACTCGGCGGCGAGCCCGAGGGAGGAGGCAGAGGGGCGGGGCCTTCTCAGAAGGCTCACACGTCCCAGGCCTTCGAAGAGGCTCTCTGAGCCTCCTCAGAAGACACGGACCGACTTCCCAGAAGGACGGAGGGCTTCTGAGGAGCCCCGCAGCCTCCTGAACAGCCGTGTCCCGCCTCGGACGCAACGCCCCCCTCCCGGCAACTGGGGGGAGCGTTAGGTCGGGCATGTCCCCCGACAGGCCCCCATACAGGCTTCATGGGGAAAAATACCCTAAACTAGTCAAACAATGTTAGAACATCGTCCCCACATTGTTTTGGACTATCTTTGAATACTCCCCCTGCAGAGGGACACGCCCGACTGAAGGGGAGCGCCGTTCGCGGAGGCGCGGTGCTTCTGGCTTCTCTTGCTGCCCCTGGCGGTGTGCCGCGGGTGGCCCTGGGGCCGCCAGGCGGCGGCCGCGGGCCGCGAGGCGCGGATGGACTCGAGCGCTACCGGCGGATCTGGAGGAAACGTTAAAGATGTCAAACAAGTATTCAAACCGTAATCAGGAAATGCTAGAAAAATCGTCCCCAGACTATTGTTGGACTATTCTTTGATCTTCCTCCTCTAGAGGGACAGGCCCGACTTAACCCCAGAGGGCATTCACAGGGGCCCTGCGGACTGGCAACAAGACTGCTCCAGACGAGACTCTGGCCCCCGGGAGCCTCTATAGGAAGGCACGCCGGGAGAAAAAAAGCGCGACGTCGCCAGATGTCTGGAATGGGGTCCCCAGGATCTCCTGGTAGGCTCAGAGGCTCTCCAGAGCCCCCCTCTCGAGAGGCCCAGGGAGAACCCCAGGGGCTGCCCAAACTGCGCGACAAGCGGGGGACGCCCTGGGCCGCGGACGCTTCTGGCTGCCCCCGCTCCGCGTTGGCGGGCAAGGGCGGCCCCTGAGCGGCGCAAGCGGGCCTGGGAACAAAAATGTCGTCCTTCGACTCGTTGACCGCGCTGAAGTTGCAATCGCGCCCAACCGAGGTGGCGTACGCCGCAGGGAAGTCGAGCTGCGCGAAGATGCTCGTCATGTCCGAGGCGCACTCTGCACACACGTTGCCAATGGGCGGGTCGCAGTCCAAAGCCGTCGCGGCGAAGCTGGCTGCAGTCCAGGGCGCTTATCGTCAGCATGTTTACGGCGCCCGCGCGTGGGTTCGGGCAGTCCTTCATCGCACGGGCACTGGTGGTGCCCATCTACATCAAGAGGGTGCTGGCCATGATGACGTCGAAGACACACGCGCCTATCGACCAGCCTTCCTCAATCCGCCGACACCTCGTAACTTGCTAGGCGTGCGAGTTTCTTGCGCTTCCCCAGACCAAACGGCCCCTGGCAGGAACCGCATATGCCAAACAACCACAAGGAAACTCATTGAGAATGCCGCCGACCGTCCAAAAACATACAACAACGCAGTGCTCTCAGGCGCGTCTGCACAAGATGTCTCCGGGAGCGTTCAATGGGTCCGCGAAGGGGAGGCTCGAGACAGGACTAGGGCTGGGGCTCGGGCTATAGCACTAAGGATATAGTGGTAAGGATGTAAGGATAGGTGTAGATATCGGGATGGGGTGATATGCTAGGATTAAGAATAGGCTAGGATAGGGGTGTAGGGCTAAGTAGGGGTGAAGTGATGGGAATATAGGGAAAGGGATCGGGATGGGGATAGAGGCCCCGGCAAACAATAGAAAACACTCATGCCAGATTCATCTGACAATGGTCACCCCTCACTCAGGATGTTCAAAGTTGGCTGTGGCTCTTATGAGTCGCAATTCGACCGCGGTCATCCCCGCACGTGCCAGCTATGAATTTTGGGGAGGGGCAGGTCCATGAATTGTGTCCCTCTACCGTAGTGTGACAGGGGAATCCTTGTGCTTGGCCATTCTCTGGTTCATCCAGTTGAAACTTCTGTGGCCAGGGTAAGGGGAGGGGTAGGATTGAGAGAAAGCCCTCGGTAAGATAATCGAGGGAACGCTACTGCCAAACATCTGATCAAGAAAACTATCATCTGAGAATATCATATGAGAAATCTGGACCAGCTTCCCAAACGCTTCCTGAAACAAACCTGGGCCAATTTTTGTTACAAACGCGCTCAAGAAATTGGGCCAGCGTTCCGACAAGTTGGTTCAGCGCTGACCCAATCTCGTTGGAGGATGCTTCTTAACCAGACGCTCGACTGCAACAGGGGAGGAGGGATGGGGGCGGCATTACTCGGGAATCCCGTCTGCACCTGGCGGGTGCTCCGAAGGGGGGGGGGGCTCTAGAATCTCACGACGGCCTCGCGCCTTCTAAAATCTCACGACGGCGCCCGTCGCCCCCGCCATGGTCCCGTCGTCACTGTCGTCGATCGTCGTCGTCGGTCGTCGGTCGTCGTCCATCGTCGTCGTCGTTGTCGGTCGGTCGGTCGGTCGGTCGGTCGGTCGATCGTCGTCATCGTTCGTCCTCGTCGGTCGTCGTCGTCGTCGTCCTCGTTTGTCGTCGTCGTTCGTTGTCGTCGTTAGTCGTTCGTCGTGATCGTAGCTTGTCCTCGACTGCAATCTTCCCCGCGAGTGCCATCTTTGAATTTGGTGGGAGGTGGAGTGTCCATGAATGGTTTCCCTCTGCGAAAATGATGGAGATTGGAATGCGGGTCGGGATAAACAATGGGAGACAGCGAGAGACCATCGGAAACAATTGGAAACAGCCGGGGCAACAACCGCAGACAACAGGAGACAACGGGAGACAATGGCAATGGGCGACAATGGGAGGAAATGGGAACCAGAGGAAGGCAACGAGAGACAATGGGACACACCAAGGGCAATGGGAGACAACGTCGCCTGGCCGATTCCGGAACCAGTGGGCCACCCACCCCTTGCTCAGAACCACTACTGTAGAGCTCTTACAGACAAGCTGTTTAGGAAACCTTGGAGTCGACCAAAAGGGCCCCCACATGGCCCACGTGGGCCCCGGACCGCACGACAGCCCCAAGAGGGCCCCAAGAGGGCCTCAAGAAGAGCGACGGAGGCCCCTGTGAGAATAGCCCAAAAGGTCCGTAACACGGTCGAAGCCAGTGAACACATGCATTTAGCTGGTGGAGTTTTGCTTCCCACGCTTCTCGCCACAAGATTGCCACGCGAGTTTGCTAGACGACCCAAAGACGGCGAACAAGAAATGCTGCAGGTGGCCCCAAGACAACCTCCATGACGGACAGCTGCCGGGCCGCCCCATGCCTCCCGCGAAGCCGCGTGCATCTCGATCTTTCTCCTTAAGGCCTGAGGGTCCGCTGCTGCTTGCTATCTTGCTCGCTTCGGTGATCGCTCTTCTGATGTGCCCGTGCTTCCTGAACTTCAGCCGGCGCCCTTCTCCCGACTCCAAAACGGCGGTGAGGTTCTGCAAGGCCCACTCGCGGGCGAGGTCGGACGAGCCCACGGCGCCAGACGAGCTGCCGATATCGATGGCGGCCGAGGCGATGCCAGTGACGTCCGCGATCATCCCGATGATGTCGGCTGCGCACACTGCCTTCTGGTCTACCATTGAGGGGCAATCAGAGACGCTCGCGCTTATCGCGAATGCCACCCAGGAGAGACAGCTGATGGCGTTGGGGACCTGTATCGCGCAGCCCTTGGCGGAAGAGTCGGGACACCTGGAGGACCTGCTCGCCGACGCCCAGTACAACGAATCGATCGCGTACTCAAGGCAAGAAACAATGTACAATACGTCGATCACGCACGTTGCCTACAACAACTTTGACTCGTTCAATGGCGCTACGTACGTTTCGTACATTACCTTACTGTTGAGTTCATCAGCTAAGTCATCGTAGACGTCTTGACTATCTGTGCCCTCCCCTTGCCAGACCCTTGCGGAGGCAGCCAGGGAACGAAGCGCGTCGAGCTCTACGGCTTAGCTTCCACGAGGTGGCGTGCAGCTGCTGTGGCTGCGCCGGCCAGGCGAGCAGAATCAGACAGCGCCTCGGCAGCGGATACCGAAGGCTGCACAACACACACACACACGTCCTAAGCAACGCCGCGCCGCCCTTAAGAACGTGTAGCAGCTTCGCTGCCGCAACTTCTGCACGAGTGGGTTACAAAACTTGGAGCCTTAGGTTTCGATCAATTGCTGAACAGACCAAACCACGCGGACTTAACCCCAAGATGGACAACGAGAGCCATAGAGGGCCCCAACACCACCCGAGTGTAACCCGCAAGTCCCAAGACTGCCTAGGAAATCCGCAAGAGGGCACAAATTTGCCGAACCAAACCTGAGGCTTGCCCAGAGGAAACTTGCGACCGCCTGACCCGTAAACCGACATCAGGACTCGAACAAGTCGGGCGACGGGAGAGTGGCGGCAGAGGGCGAGGCCATCACGATAGTGACGGGCACACAGGGGGAGGACCGACACGCCCGCAGCTATGAAAACAAATGCCAGCGCTGTGAAAACGAACACCTGCCGCTTGGACGCGGAAGTGGTCGACGCGGACGCCTCGCGGGCTTCGGAATTACCCATCAACACCTCGGACACGTCATCGCACAGCACCGGCACTCGCGGCCATACGGTTCGCCCTCACCCGCCCCTCTCTGTGCGCGCGTGCGACGTGGGCTCGAGCCAGAGGCTTCCACGGTCCACGGCGTTTGGTTGGGTGTCCCTACCTGCGCCCCTGCTCCAACAAGGGGCTCTCCGCCACATCCCCCTCTCCTCCCCACCGATCCGGGCGTCCCAGAGAAACAAATGCGGCTGGTATTTCTATGCTCTTGGCCTCCAGATGTCGTTTCCCGTCGTGGGCCTGTCAAAAAACAGCTCAGGAGGAAGAGCCCCTGGGGAAGGGGTCGAGATGCTCAGGGGACCACGAAAAAAGGCGACGTCGTGGGAGACCATTCTCCACAGGGAGCGCCCAGGGGGCTCGGTGAATAGTATAGACGCCCTGGCGTCCCAAGCGGTGGGACACTGGAGCGTCAGCACTCTGGCATTCCTCAGCCGAGTGGCCGACCAAATGACAGAGCAATTCGGGAGTTGCAGCGTGAGCGCGAACACGACCCGAATCGAGAACTCGATCTCGGATTAGATTCGTGCCGTGCGTGAGGGGCGAAGCTGCGCGAGAGCAGTGGCATGTCAGAGGCAACTGTGGTCGAATATGAGCACGTCTTGGAATTGCCCCTCGGATTCACTTAACAATTGTTCCGTGGTTGCCCCAGGGATCGAAATTGAGCAGGGACCGACCGTCCGTCCCCGCAATTCTATAGGCCTACCATGCAATGTCCTTAGAACCAAGACAGTCTCGGCCAGAAGCGTTCTTACCACGCAATGTTCTTAGAACCAAGACAGTCTCGGCCAGAAACGTTCTAAGAAAATTTCGTGGAAACTGCAAAAGGTTCTTAGAACATTGTTTGGTAGGCCTTTAGGCACGCCTGGACGCTTCGTCACTGCTTGAGGGAAGGGGCAAAAGGTTGTCCCCTCAGTGACCCTTGGGTGGTCCCGTGGGCTGCCCGGTGGTTCTCCCGTGGGTTGTCCCGTGGGTTGTCCCGCGGGTTGTCGCCGTGGCTGTCCGTGGGCTCGCCCGTGGATTGTCCCGTGGTTGCCCTATGTGGTCCCGTGGTGGTCCCGTTGGCTGTTCCGCTGTTGTCCTGCGATTGTCCCTCTGGCTTTCTCGCGGAGATCCCGTGGGAACTGCAAAGCGACACGCAAACCCAACCTCATAACGTGACGCAATTGCCACGCTATGGAGCTTCTGGCACCCTCCGGCGCCGCTTTGTGAGCACATCCGGGTTGCTCACGGCCCAGTCTCCCCCGCCAAATTTTGTTTTGTTCTGCGGGGCAACTTGCTTCAATGAAAACTGGAGCCGACGGTACGGTGCGGGCGTGTCCTGAGATCCTTTGCCTAACCCCTGGGGCATCAGTCCACAGCCATGAGGATTCCTTAAAGTGGCCCGGGCCCCAAATTCCGAAATCTCTTGGGGCTTGCCGCGAATCCCCTGGGCTGCCCCGCGGCTTGTCGCATGAATTTCGCAGGCCCAAGAGGACCCCAAGACGGGCCAAGAGGGCCCCAAGAGGCCCCGAAGACGGTCTAAGAGCGCCCCGAGTCGCCGAACGATCGCCTCAAGACGCTCAAGATCGCCCCCAGACGGTCCAAGAGGCCTCCAAGACGCCCCAAGAGGCCACCACGAGGCCTCCAAAGAGGGCCCCAAGAGACAAACATCAATGATTTTCCCACGGTGTTTGAAGGCTGTTGGCTTTCTCGCCTGTTCGGCTTCCTGACGCTCCGAGACGGCCCAAGAGGCCCCCAAGATCGCCCCAAGACGGTCCAAGATGCCTCCGAGAGGGCCACAAAGCGGCCCAAGAGGGCCCCAAGACGGCCTAAGAGACGCCCAAGATGGCCCAAGAGGGCCCCAAGACGGCTCCAGAAGAGGCCCAAGAGAGGGAACACGAACCGAAAATCCGAGGCTTCCGCCGCAAGATGCCCCCAGGAGGCCCCCAGAGGCGCCCAGGAGACCTCAAGAGGCTCCCAAGAAGCCCCAAGAGGCCACCAAGAGGCCCAAAAGAGGCCCCAGAATGGCCCCAAAGAGGCCCCTCAAAACTGCCTCCAAGAGCCACCCTAGAGACCTCCCACGAGATCCGAACGAACATCCAACAGGCTTTATACTCGCAGCGCAGGAACGGTGGCGGGATGGACCGAAGGCCCTAAGACAACCAGACCGAAAGCGGTGACCCCTCGAGACCTCCTTATCGCCCGAATGGAAATCGTATAGAAGCAGCTCCTCCGACAGGAGGGTCGTCATCCTGCACATATGTTAGAATTTTTGCCCTCGCGACAAACTGAATGTGGAATATGTAAGTGCGGCACCGAATCCGCCGTGCGATCGACAAGCACGCGACGGGCACGACAAACTGAGGAGGCGGAGAAATAGTGGCCTCAACGATCGAATACTATTGTTTTTGGGAATGCTTATTCCGTCTTGGGCTCCTGAGGGGCTCGAACAGGGGGACCCTTGGAGGCAGTGGGGGGGCGGGGGAGAGGGTAGAGCGCTTCCTCTCCGGCATGAGGGGGGTAGGATTATATCGGGGGGAGGAAGAGGGAAGAGGACCAGGAGTGGGACGGCGGGGTGTCTCCGAAGAGGCAAGTCCAGCGGGGCGAAGCGGAGGAAGATGAGGACAGGAGAAGTTAGAGGAGGAGGAGGAGGAGGAGAAGGAGCAGGAGCAGGAGCAGGAGAAGCAGAAGAAGAAGGGGGGGGGGGGAGAGGTGAGAAAAGGCATGCAGGAGGATCTTGGGGGAGGAAGGGGAGGATAGCAGGATAAGGCTGCATGCGCAGCACGCCCCTCTCGTGCGTCCTTGACTCGAACTCCTCGGTGGTAAACCTCGGACTGCATTTCATTGAGAACCTCCTTCAAGTCCACGTCCTCGGCTGGGGGTCAGGATGCGAATGTGATCCGCCGACCGCCGCTTGCCAGGTGTGACAAGGCGAGTGAGACAATTGGTTGTCTCCCTCCTCCTCCCCCCCCCTCCCTGGGTCCTGAATCGCGCTTGAGGCCTCCCGACCCCCATCCCCTGGGGGGGGGGAACGAGCTCGTGAACGGCACTCCCCCAGGGAGGCACGAACTCATCAACGCGCCGGGGCCTCCATAGCCGTTAAAAGCTAACGCCGTGGCTGCCCGGATGCCTCAGATACCATTGGAGTTTGCTCCAACTACGCCGGGGAAGCCCCAAAGACACCCACGATAGCCTCAAGACGGCCCAAGAAGCTTCGACGACGCCCCAAGAGGGCGCCGGGCTCCAAAAGGACCTCCTCGAGGGCCCAGGGAGGCAAGAATCGCCAGAATGCCTCTGGCAAACATGCATTTTCAACATATGTCCTTTCCTCTTCACAGCGTCCAAGACGGCTCGAGAGGATCGCAAGATCACTCCAAAACAGCCCGAACAACCCCCCTGGGGCCCCGAAACCGACCAGGAGGCCCCCAAGACGGCCCAAGAGGCGCCCAAGACAGCCCAAGACTACCCCAACACGACCCTGAGGCAGGCCCAAGACAGCAAGACAAGTCAGTCGAATTCACGTTTTGAGCCCTCCAACCCAACGAGTCCCCCGAAACCGCAGGCCTGCGCCCAAGGACCCCCAAGAGGCCCACGGACCCCCAAGAGGCCCAAAGAGAGCCCTCGCATGCCCAACAGAAGCGCACGCACGCCCCCCGAATGTCCCCAGGAAGCCCCAAAAGGCCACACCTGTGCACATCTCCCCTCTTCTGGTGGACCTCTCGTGTGTGCGTGCGGGACATCACGCGCCGGCAATTACGTCTTCACGTGTCCACAAGCCTCCTTGTCATCCGCCTCCTCCTGTCGTACCCTTCCTCGTCCTCCCCTCCTTCTCCTCATCCTCCTCCTGCCTCCCTCATTTCTCAATGTCGTCTTCAGCCGTGGTCTTGAAGACGCCATGGCTGCTGCATTCGTCCGGCATCTGTCAGACTCTTGGCCCCATGGTCGGACCCTCGTGCGTTTCCAAGAAAGCCCTGCATCGACTCTACACTGGCCAACAACGCATTACGCAACCACGCAAATTGCCCAACCGTCGCGTTCGAGCGCCCTGCTGGCCCTGGCGATCGCCTCTAAGCGCGGCGACTGCACAGTTGGCTGCCCCCCTCCCAAACATTTGCCAGCCCAGCCCAACATGGCTACGATCCATGCCGCCATGTACGGTATCCATAACTCGCCCTAGCTATTTCCGTGGACTTCTCACTTCGTCTGGGGGTCGGCGAAATAGCGTAAGCCTCTTGGATGATGCGTCTTGAAACAAGGCATTGGGATGGCACCGACGTCTTGAAACAAAAGTTTGGATGCTGCTGCTTCTCCCAAGACGTCCGATGTCTTCACTTTTTCAAAATCTGGTCCCCAGAAGCCCCGACCCCTTGACCAAAACCAACATTCCGAGTCGTTATTTGACGGTCCTGGGGCCCAACAAGGGCCCTTGGAGGCCGAAAGAGTCGTGTTTTTGCATGACGCGAGCATGCCTGGATATGTCTGGGTCCCCATCCTGGGCTGACCTGCGCTGTCGGGCGCCTCGGTCCCGCCCTCGGGCCGCGATCGCCGCGCGGCCGGCGCGATCCTCTCCCAAAGACGCCAGCGGGCGGGCGGGCGCCAGTCACTCGCACACGGCGCCCAGGCGGAGCGTGCGACTGTGGGCGTCGGTGCCCGAAGGGGCGCAACTTGTGGCCTCTCCGAGGCGGCGCTCTGCCACAAGGGAGGGCACAACACAAAAAAGTAGGTCGTGGAGTCTCGCTGGGCGACAGGGTTACGTATTCGACGACGGCCTCCTGCTACCCAGCAGCCCTGGGCAGTCTTCGACGGTCTTCGGCGGCATTCTGGCGTTGTTCTGGCGGTCTTCGGCGGTTTTTTGTTCTGATGGTCTTCGGCGAACGTCGTCGGTTTCCGGCGGTTTTCGGCGCGAAAGCTGGATGGCTGCGGTTAACAAGGGGTCCATGATGCACACCGAAGACAGGGGAGTAATGTCGCCGACGCCAGAAGACGAGAAGGCAGGAGGAAACACAAATCGCTCCCGCTCTCTGCCGTGCGCCGTCGTCGCAGGAGACCCCGCCCCCCGTCCTATGCGGCCACCCTGTCCCCACCATCGCCTTGCAACGCACCTCTCCTCCTCCTCCTCCTCCTCAGATATCCTCGCGTCGTAGGAAAAGAAGAAAACAACGCGTAACAATTTTCGGCCGTTGGGCGCTTCGCCAGGGGACCCATGGCCGTCGAAGACAAGTCAAGACAGGACGAAAACCTGAACCACAGGAATTGGTCTCAGGACTTCCAGGCGCCCACGTTGCGAGGGAATGACGACGTCGGCGGTCTTGCTTCTCTTTTGACGTGCAGGAGCGGGTTTCTGGTGGAAGCGGAACCCAGCCCCTTGGGATGGGTTTTCCCTTCCTCCCAAGTGGTCATCTAATTGTCCTGGGGCCCGAAGATCGCCACGCGAAAAGCCTCCAACGGCCCTTTCCTCCAACACCCGTTTCCTTCTGCAGGCTCCTGCTCCTCCACATCATTCAGTGCCGAAGCTCTCCCGGGCCAGCGCAAGGCCAAGTCAATACAGGCCGTGCCGCGAGCCTCGCCATCGCTCTGACATGCACTCCCCGTGCATATTTCGGTTTCGTGTGTATTCCTTCGCAAGATGACCCAACATGCTCCTCGATGGTTTTTGGCCGAGATGAAATTCACACGTCCGAGCGATGCCAAGGAGCCTAGGCTGGTCAGCAAGTGGTTCCCGAACCCGCGCAAGCGGCTGGAATGCAAGGGCAGGAGGGGGTGTGGACCCCACTTTCCGTACCCTGGTCGGCCACAGGGGATCCGAAAAGACTGGCTGGCCCCCGTGACAGCTGACCCCTGGTGACCCGCAATCGGATGCATCATCGGGAAACCTTGTCAGCCCCGTCGCGCCCGCATCCGCGCAGAATCCGTGTCGAATCCATGTCGAACCTGCGCCAAATCCGCGTCGAATCCGCATCGCGACCGCATCGGGTGCAATCAAAAACACCAGTTTGGGGGACAGACAAGGCCCCCCGAAAACGCAACGTAAAGCTTCGTTGCGAATCATTTTTTCCCTCCTGTGCATACCCGCTGCCCTGCACAGCTGTCGAATAAAAGCTGATGAATCGTCCAACACCTCTAATACCAGGTGACACGCGTGCTCCAAACTCGCTTACGAATGCGTTGTTGTTTTCCCGCAATTTTACCTCGTTGGATAATTGGGTATCCCTAGACCAAACACAAAGGCCGACCGCGAACAGTACCATGGCATTGACAAGTTCATTAATCCGACGCCTTGATCGTCCACGGCAACCTCACCGGACCTCTCGAGGCCTTTCCAAGGGACCTGCCTTCCGTCCTGGATCGTTTATCGATGGCCCTGGGAGCCGACAGCGGCCTCCAGCTGCAGAAACAACTTCTGCGTTTGAGGCTCAACATGGATTAGTCAGTGTGCATGTGCAAGTGGTGCAACCTTGTGGTGTGAATCGTGTGGTTGGAACTATTGGATGCGAGCCCTGTGGAGCAAATTATGTGGCGCAATCCACCTCGCAGAACTGGAAAGTCGTCAACTCCGCCGCTCGCGTAAACATCCCACCACACACGCCCGCAACTTGATTGGCGAAACCCATGCGGGCACGACTGCGGTTTCTGATCGGCACTTGTTGTTGCATCTCTACGACCGCGCTGGCGCGTTCATGCTGCGCGCATCGGGCGACGAGCTGCTTTGACACAACTGATGCGGCCGCGATGCCGCTGGCCGATGGGAGCCACCCAGCGTGTCTTCAAAGCAACGCTGGCGCGCGGGCGCTGCAGAGCAGGTCGGTGCCTCGGGCGGGCGCGGTATCAAGATGACGTCGGCAACGGCGGCAGCGATGATGGTGTGATGGTGATGACGGCGACGACAACGGCAAGGCCAACGACAGCGCCGATGCGGGTGACGGCGACGACGACGCAGCTGATGTCCATGTGTCGGTGATAGAGGTAACTGCGCTATGACTTGGGCAACGGTGACGGTTGGCGATGACAGTGACGGCGATGACGCGGTGGCGCGCAAACAAATTCCAGCACACATGCAGATTTGTTACTGGATATGTAGTTCAAGAACTCTATCTTGGAACGCGTCGACACGCAACTGGTTTTGAACAGATTCCGACGCTCGCGGGTGGCGGCGCGCGCGCGCATGGCCCGACTGAAACCCTGTGATACGGACTCGTTGACCTGGCGCGTGCCAGATCAATGCAGATGCACTCCGTGGTGAGATGAGAATTCGGGGCCTGGACGATATTGTCAACATCCGATGGTATCCCCATGATTTCAGGACCCCCCCCCAGCGCGCCTCACAAGCAACGCTAGCGTGCGGGCACTTCAGAGCGGGTCGGTGACTCGGGTTGGCGCGGCATCGGCACAATGATGACGTCGACACCAGCGGCAGCGATATTGATAGTAGTGGTGGTAGTGGCGATAGTGCGGCTGACGGCGGCAAGGCAAGTGACGGCGCCAATGCTGGTCACGACGCTGAGGATGATGATGATGATGATGATGATGATGATGATGATGGTGATCGTGATAATGATGATGATGGTTATGATGCTGATGACGACGACGATGATTAGTAGTATGATGATTATGCTGATGATGGTGATACTGTTCATGCGTCGGTGATGGACGTGACTGCGCTGTTGGTGACGGCACTGGTGGCGACTGACGATGATGACCACGGCGGTGATGCGATGGAGCTGATGAGGGTGATGGTGAGAAACTGCGTTCGCGAAGGAGTTCAATATCTCTGGCAAACGTTGCGCTTAGGAAACTACTGCCATTCATATGTTTGTGAAAAGCTAGACCTCCAACTGGGCGCACACACGCAGGTGCTTCGCGTGGTGGCATGAGAATGCGGGGTATGTTCGAAATTGCCACGACCATCTGGTAGTCCTGTGAAGTCATCAGGTGAGCGCGACAAGAATACCTGCAATATGTGTATGCCTGCATGCTTCTGAATTTTTTGTGTACGCTGAGGTGCTTGTAACACCCATGTGGTTAGTGTGCCTTCGACGTGGGCAACTGCCCGTGGACTTTGTTTGCACGTTTTGCAAAAGGAATGCTCTTTTGCGGTGGGCGAATGTGCGCGCATGCTGTATTTTGGCACCGATGGGGGGGGGAGGGTTCCGTGGGGGGCGATACACGGTTGGCCGGGGCTGTTGTGGTTGAATTTGGGACATACGCGAAGAGGTGTGTCAGATATCAGTTGCAGTTTTTTCTCTCGAAAAGGGAATCTAAGTGCAATTTGTGGCCGCGCCGTTCGTTCTCGATGCGCCCAAATGGACGACGCCGAAACCACGGCAAGCCCTGCGTCCTGCGCACAAGCAGACGAAGAAGGCACCACGTCAAACCCACGGCAAACCCTGCGCCCGAGGCGGAGTTTGCCCTGCTGGCCGAGGCGCCCTCCCCAAAACGCCAGGCCGCGCGAAGGAATAAACGGCGCGGCGACAGATGCGTGGTGCAAGCTATCTGGTGCAAGCTATGTCGCCCCCGCTATTGGTTGCAAGCTGTGAGGCGCAGTCTGCGCGGTGTAAGCTATGTGTTGTCAGTTATGTGGCGCAACCTCTGTGGTGCATATGCAAGCTATGCGGTGCACGCTAGTTTGTGCAATATACGTGCTACAAACTATGTGGTGAAATGTCGGTGTTGTCGGCTACGTGGTTCAAGCCGTGTTGTGCGTGCGACGAAGTGCAATTCATGATGGCGAATCTGAAGCTGTTAACCCTGGTGCTCGCGTAAACACCGCACCATCCGACAGGCACCTTGTTTGGCGCACCTCTATGGTCGCGATGATGCGCGCATGCTCTCGCGCAGACCGACTATCTGGTTCGGCACAACTGATGAAGCCGCGGTGGCGCTGAACAGTGGGAACTCCTTGCGCGTCTCCGAGGCCGTGCTGGCGCCCGGGCGTGTCGGTGCGGGTCGGTGGCTCGGGCGAGCGCGATACCATGATGAAATCGACAACGGCGGGGACGCTGACGAGAATCGCGATGGCGGCGACGATGGTGACGATGACAACGGCAAGGTTGATGACTGCGCTGACGATGATGGTGTCCATGTATCGGTGGTGGAAGTGATTGTGCTGATGATGGCGGAAATGGTGGCAGTTCACGATGGCGTCAAAGGCGGGGATGCGATGGCGCTGATGACGGTGATGTGGAAGTGCGCGCGCGCAGAAATTCAAGCAACCTAGCAAGCCTCTTGGATGAAGAACTACTGGTTTCAACTGTGATGATGAAGAACTCGACCTTGAACGGCTTCGAACACCGATGTTTTTGACACGACTGCGACACTCGCCCGTAGCGGCGCGCGATGTGGTCCGCACGGTGTTATTTGATACGGATTCGTACAGTGGGCGCATGCCAGATCAACGCGGGTGCACCGCGTGGTGAGATGAAGATGCGGGGTCTGGACGAGACACGTAAGGAATCATTGCAAATTGAAAGTCTGAGATAGACGAGTGTGCTCATGGAACTAGTTTGCAGGAATGACGGGGGGGGTCCGATACAGGTTTTGCTGGGATGATCGGATTCAGATGGGAGATGAACGAGAAGGCAGGCCCATCTGCAAACTGCAATACGAAGAGGTGAACAGAGAACCCCAGGCGCGGGGCACCCAGAGGCGCCCACCAACAGGGCACCAGCCGAAACCCCGGCGTACCCATCCAACTACATGAGAAAACTAAGAGAGACCTCCATACACAGAACCCACTTCCAACGATGTTTTTTTAGTAGGCTCATTCGTGTGTTTTCTATCTTTTCTGCCCGCACATGCCGCACAATCGGCACAGTGCGGACGCCAACGCCCCCCGCACATGCACACACGTGCCATGAAATCCCGAAGACAATCGTATGCGCGGGGCAGCGCGGACAACTGCGCACTGAAGACTGCGCACTGGAGACCAGCATGCCCTCAACCATCCCCATGAACCAAACCGCGCACGCTACTCCTCCGCCTCGTCCTTTTCATCCACCCCATGCTTCTTCTTGCATTACCCTTCCTCCGTCCTCCTCCTCCTCCTCCTCCTCATCCGTCCTCCGTCTCCTCCGTCCTCCTCCTCCTCCTCCTCCTCCTCCGCCCTCCGTCCTCCGTCCTCCGTCCTCCGTTCTCCTCCGTCCTCCGTCCTCCGTCCTCTGTCCCATGCCCCCCGTCTTCCGTCCTCCCGCTCTTCCTCCTCCTTCTCCTTATTCGCTCCCGATCGCCTGGGGATTTGCGAATGCCGCGACGGCATTTGCCAGAGCCGTGCCCGGCATGCGCGGGCCGAAGCCCAGGCGCCCAGAGAGAGAGAGAGAGGAGGAGGAGGAGGAGGAGGAGGAGGAGGAGGAGGAGAAGGTGCGAGGAGGACCGAGGAGGAAGAGCGAGGAGGAGGAGGAGGAGGTGGAGGATGAAAGAATACGACGAGGAGGTGGAGGGCTGTGCCCGGCATGCGCGGGCCGAGGCCATGCACCTGGCTGTGGCCTCGTCCACACACATGCCGAACACACGCCAGGCACATGTCGGCACAGTATCTACACAGACAGGTGCCCAGAGAGAGAGAGAGAGAGAGAGAAGGAGGAGGAGGAGGAGGACCGAGGAGGCAGAGCCGAGCGCAAGAGAGAGGAGGAGGTGGAGGATGAAGGAATACGAGGGAGGACGAGCGAGGAGGAGGAGGCGGGAGGGAAGGAGGGAAGGAGGGAGGGAGGGAGGGAGGAGGAGGACGAGGATGAGGACGAACACGGGGAGGCGGAGAAGGAGGGATGCGGAGGGAGGGGGGAGGGGGAGCAAGTACGTAAGAGAAGCGAGGAGGACGAGGGATGGAGGACGAGGGGAGAGAAGAGAACGAGGAGAGGAATGAGGAGAAGGGATGAGGGAGGAGCAGGGATAAGGAGAGGGGATCAGAAGGAGGGACAAGGCGGATGGATAATAAAAAAGGGGGAGGAGCGACGCAGGAGGAGGAGGAGGAGACCGACGACGACGAAGGAGAAGACGGACAAGGGAGGAGGAGGAAGAGGAGGAGGAGAAGGATGAGGAGGAGGAGACAAGTTTGAGATGAGAAAAGGTGGAGGATGAGGAACGTCAGGCAGGTGTCTCCGCACACGCCCCCGCACCCACACAGACTGACCGGGTGGCGCGATCCAAACGGGAAACCTGGTGAACAAGATCCATTGATGCGATGCGATCCTCCGGCCCCATCTGCTCGGACCCCATCTGGGAGGTCCAGAAAAAAACCAACAACAGGCCCTCCGTTGTTGATCTCCCCAGGCGCCCTGGAGCCCTGGGTGCACGGCCGCCGCCTGGCCGCCGCCCGACCGCCGCCCCGCACCCCCGCTCCGCGGACGCGGCCGCGTGGCGCGGAGGGTACGTCAAGGCCGCGCCCCACGCCTCGAGGGGAGCGGCTGGCAGGGTTGCGGTCGGGAGCTGTTGCTCAGCGTGTCGCCGCGAGCGGCCCTGGCAACACGCTTTACTAGGCAGGCGGACAGCATGCAGCTCCGCTCCGCGCTCGGCACGTTGAGGCCTGGGGACGGGGGGTAGCGCCGAGGCGTGATGTGCCAGAGCCTGCGACGCGACACGCTGACCTACAGTTCCCGACCGTAGCGAGTAACTCCTGGGAAGTCTTCGCGAGAACGATTCAGGGTGATTAAGGCCGACTAACAGGCCACTGAGCTGGACAAGGCCAGATTAAGCCCAGGCGCAATCCCGAGTAAGCGAAATTAGGCGAGATCAAGCGGAAGCCACTTTGCAGGATTAGGCTGGTTTTCGAACACGGATATACTAGCGTCGACGCTGAGTTTAACCTCCCAGGAGTTGTATCCTAAGCAGGGGCCGACCTGGATAGGAGGCCACATGCGAACCCTACCCCACGACCCCACGATATCTTCGAGAGGAAGTGGGGTTCACCTTGCTCGGGACGTCCCGAACGAAGTGAACCCCACCTCCCCCCTTAGAAATCGTGGGGTCGTGGGGTAGGCTTCGCATGTGGCCTCCTACTGGAGAGATGGACACCTAGGGAGATAGGAAAAACGACACCGCCACCGCAAGCGCGAGGAGCCCCGGGGGGGGGAGAACCTCCTGGTGGTGTGATCCCCCTCCCCGCCCGAGGCACCCCCTGTCCCGAGCTCGGGGAGGCATCGTGGACAGCCTCGCTGGAGGTGGCACCCCTGGTGGTGTCGCTCTTCTTCCTTCCGGCCCGCCTGCCCGACGCCGCCGCTGCTGCCGCTGCTGCCGCCGCCGCCGCTGCTGCTGGCCGCCGATGCTTCTGCTGCTGCTGCTGCTGCTGCTGCTGCTGCTGCTGCTGCTGCTGCCCCCGCTGCCGCTGCGTCTGCGGCCGCTGCTCCTCCGCCTTGCCCCGGCCGCCTCTCCTCCTGCTGCTGCTGCTGCTGCTGCTGCTGCTGCTGCTGCTCCTTCTCCGCACCTCGGACGATGTCGCAGATCCTCCGAGGGCTGCCGAGACGGTCGCTGCGGTGCGTGGCGCTGGTCAGGTTCGCATGGCGTCGTGGCACCTGCTATGTCTGAGCTGTCTTGGGGTGCGTCAGCAGCGTTGGCTCGACCTAGTCGTTGCTGTGCGTGGTCCTCTTGGGTCAGCGTGACGTCGCGGTGCCAGTCGCGTCGGACAAACGTTCGCGTACGTTTAACCAGGCACCACGTCACGTTGTATGACCCTCGTGCTTTCTGTTGGTGCCTTCATGGAGTGTCTTCGTTATGTTGGCCAAATGTGTGATGTGTGTATGTGTATGAGGTGTGTCGTGTCGAAAGATGTGATTGATTCATGCTGCGTGCGCTTGCTCTGTGCGTGTGCAGTATGTATGTACTGATCATGCACAAGCACTTTCTCGTGTTACGTAGTCCATGCAACCCTGATGTGCACATACACTTTCTGAACGCATGTTAGTTATGAATGTGTGCGCTGTGACTGCTGCGTTGACATTTATGTATGTTGAGAAGGTGTGCTCTTGATGCGTGCTGCTCCTGCCTTGGTGTCGGACCGTTATGTCGGAGCGAAGCATATGGAATCCAAAAACCGGTACGTGTTTCCCTCCCATGGTCTACACGCACTTGTTCCCAACTGCGTCCAGCTGCGGCGACGAGGGGGCCCACCGAGAGGCAACTCCCGTTGTCTCAACTCGCCCCCCTCTGATTATGGCCGTTAATGATGTCGCCAACAGTCGAGGACTCGAAGCGGGAGACCCAAAGATCACCAGAACACCTGGGGCATGGCGGCCGCAATATGCTGTTCACAGAATCGTCACTCGAACGGGTACCCAGGGGTACCCAGGGACCGCACGGATGCTTGGGGCCTCGCGGCCGTGGTATACAAAGCTGGCGAGGCGGATCGGGAACCCGATGTTAACAACTTCACGGGCCCAACATGTCGGGTGGGGAATCAGTTGGCATCTCTTGTGTAAACGAAATTTACCTTGAACAAATTCCGCTGGCGGACTCGCCCCCCGTTTTATTTCCGCCAGCCTCCAGCTGTCTTCCGCAGGCCAACCTCTGGATCCTCCTCCTCCACCTTTTCCTCCTCCTCCTCCTCCTCCTCCTCCTCCACCTGCGCCCTTTCTGGAACGCCCATACATTCCTGCATACGGTGAGGAACTGTTGATGAACGTGTCGCGGCGACAGGGCGGGAGGCTGGGAAAAACACAGGACGCTGACGCTGGGTGACAGGGTTGCGGCGCGACACGAGAGAAGCAACAGATCCCGACCGTGTTTGCTTACACGTGTGCTGAAACGCCCCAGGTTTGGGCTGGCCGCGCCCGAGGGCGCGGCGGACGGCGACGGTGCGCGGGCCTCCCTGGAGCCAGCTGGGTGCTGCACGAAGCTGGGCGCCATCCTCTGGGAGGGGTGGGCAGCGGGAGGCAGGACAAGACAAGACACTTGCAGGGTAAGGGAATTGTCCATAACCACCGTTTGCCGAAGCCCCCGAAACTCGATCCCCCAGGCGGCGGTGATGGAGAACCCTCCGCCTCGGAACAATCGCATCGGAGCTCCAATAGCCGACCTCGAACAATATCGTAGAACTCAACCCGCTAATAGCTCAGTTCGGACATGGCACCGGTTGACAATCAGGTCAGCGCTTGGCTATACGGGAATTGTTCGAGTGCCACCACAAGCCGCCCGAACACCGCCCTGACAAATCAGCCGTGGAAGTGCAGCCTCAGGGACACAATGAATCAGGTCAGAACTCGGGCCTCCCCGACATCACCTGAAGGGACTCGAACGACGCGAACGCTAGCCAGTCGGGTTCTTGATCCCGATCTGGGCCAACTCGCAGGCGCAAGTGGCGGCAGCGGAGTAGCCAGACTTTCTTGACTCTTGCTACCTCATGGTCTGGAGGGCAGCAGCTCACCCTGGCCTGTCTATCATAATGCAGTTTACCAAGGAACGTTCTGAGAACCGCTCGTGGTCTGCACGGAGTGCTCTCAGAACACCTATGGCTGAGACTGTCTTGTTTTGGCACATCGGGCGACCGTTCTGAGAACACGGTGCTTGTCCAAGGTCGGGCATGTCCCCTGCAGGCGGGCTTTGGACGAGAAACTCACTCAAAACATGCCCCAACACAGTCAAACACATTCACACAATCGTCCCGGGATTATTGTTTCACTATTTTAGAATATTCCTCCTGTAGAAGGGCACGCCCGACTTGATGCCTGATCTTGAGGCACGTTGGGAGCCTAAGAACATCCCGTGGTAGGCCGAAAACGAATACCAGGGACGGTCGGCCCCTGCTCAGACCAACGACCTCCGCTCCTCGGACCTCCAACGCCTGGAGACGCCAGGAAAGCCAGCCGCATGAGCTGATTCGCGCCCCCCCCCCCCCCTGTGACTGTCGCCCCCCTCTCGCCCGACCCGAGAAGAAGAAGAGGAGGAGGAGGAGGAGGAGGAGGAGGAGGGAACTGCGGTGGGCCTCGCGCAGGCAGGCCTCAAAAGGGTGACCTCGCCTCGGCGAGCGCCGCTTCGGGGAGAGGGCCTCGCGAGCTCCTTTCGGCGCGCCCGCTATGGTCTCCCCCCCTCACGGTTCGACCCTGGGCTCAGACACCGCCAACAGGGCATCCGTCAGCTATACACGACGAAAGCGGCTGCGGGGCAAACTGTGAGGGGACGGGCAGAGGTCGAGGTGGACTGGCTAAACCAAAACCACCCCCGTGCCCGGCGCCCGCGGCAGAAGTGCGGCCCCCTGTGCAACTGTCACCGCAGGGGGAGAATTACCTCCAGCGCCCCATGGCCGTGCACGCACGGGGACACTGACAGCACACAGCAGTGAAGAGGACGGCCTCGGGGACCCCAGATCGAGCCCGCTGTGAGCGTCAGCAGCCGCATACGATTAGTGGCGACAAGGCAACGGTCGAGGAGCACTGGCTAGACCAAGACAATCCCCGTGCCTGACGCTAGTGGAAGAAGGCGGCCCCCTGAGCTACGGCCACCACAAGGGGAGAATAACCTCCAGCGCCCTATGGCCGTGCAAGCAGGGGGACACTGACAACACACAGCAGTGAAGAGGACGGCCGCGGGGACCCCAGATCGAACCCTCTGCGAGCGTCAGCGCCGCATACAACTGTACTCTGAGCGGCCCCCTGAAGCATCCGTCACCGCAGGGGGAGAATGACCTCCAGCGCCCCACGGCCGTGCAATCAGGGGTGCGCTGGCATCACGCCTCAGACCCGAGGAAAGGAGGAGGAAGAGGAGGAGGAGGAGGAGGAGGAGGAGGAGGAGGAGGAGGAGCGGTAGCGGTAGCGCTTAGCGGCACGGGTACACTTTCCTCCTAGGACCCCCGGGGCGCACAGGCCGCGCTCCTCGCGAGAGCGTCACCGCGGGCGCCGCCGCCCCCGCCGCGGGGGCCCACGGGGCCCATCGGGGGGAGGCGCGCGCGGGCGCCGCCCGAGGCACCGAGCGCCACGGCTCGGCCCCTCGGCCCATGGCTTGCCGCCAGCCCCCCCGGGCATCGAGGCAGACCCAGGCACTCTCGGGTCATGAACAAATCTTCGCACTCTGGGGGCCCCTACCGGGCCACGGGGCCGTCCAAAAACGACTCAGGATGAAAAGCGGGTCCCGGGGAATGGATCGAGACCTCTTGGGGTCGACGCTGCGAAAAAATCGTGACGCCGGAGGTATGGGAACAAACATGCGCTCGGGAGGTGCACCTCGTCTTGCGCCCTCGCTTGCCCAGCTAAAGAGGGGCTCCTTGCTGCAATCCTTGGGCCGGCCCCCCCCCCATTGATTTTCTCCCGTTAATTACGGGACGCCCGATATACAAACACACGCGCACACGCACACGAGCATACACACACACACACATTCACACACACACACACACACGCACACACACTTTCTCTCTCTCTCCCTCTCTCTCTCTCTCTCCCTCTCTCTCCTGCACACGCACTTTTCCGTCGCAGCGCGGCAGAACCAATCCGCACGCGAATCCGAGCGAAACAGGGGCACGGAGTCGCGAATTCGCCCGCATGCTAAGAGTGGGGGAAGGAAGGGGGGGAGGCGGCCGCAACGGGAGGGAAGGGCGCGGGGGCGCACTCACGTAGCGAGGCTCCGGCGGGTGCGTGGGCGCGGCCTGGCCGAGGGGCCAACCTGGCAGCGGCTGCGGGTCGGCGTCGCAGTGCACCCAGGGAAGGGGGCCAGCAGCCACAGTGCGGGCGAGGTCCAGCAAGTCGGAGAGTGGGGGCGGCTGGCGGCAGGAAAACCAAGTGCTGGCGGGGGGGGAAGCAACGGCGTGGGGCCGGCAGCGGCAGGAGGTGCGCCAGCGCTGCAGCAGCACACACACACACACACACACTTTTTGGCGGTCGCGGTCTCGCGCGCAGCGACGAGGCGGAGAAAGGTCAGGTCCGGAGCGCGCGCAGCCGCGCTCTCAGGAGAATCACGCACACATGAGCCATGCGTCATCAAGAAGAGCGGTGGTGCCACACGTCGCCGGCTCAAGCGCTTGGACCAAGCCCCGCCCTGGCACGTGCGCAGGGTCCCCCCCCTCTTGTCTCCCCTCGCTCCTCGTCGCCCGCCCCCTCCTGCCATCAAAATTGGGACGGACCGCACACTTACCCCGCCAAGCTCTGGACAGCCACCAGGGCACACATGCCGATCACCCTGCACCTGGCGGCAGAGCAGTAATCACCAGCTCGGTTTCCCGAGCATTGTCACCGACAGTGCGGAACCGAGCGAGCGGGCATACATCCTCAGCTACAAGGCGGGGACCCGCTCGAGCGAGCCATGCGATAAGGTGCGAACCAACATCACCTTCTCCAACGCTGGGATCCCTTCGTCCGGGAACCACAAACGGAACGGTCAGGCATCTTCAGCTACGGACTTATGGAAGGCGAAACTAAAGCACGATGCCATCAACTACAACGCTGGGATCAGGGCGTGCGAAAAGGGCGAGCAGCAGCAGGCGACTCCAGCGTCACTCTGCGAAAAGCAAAAGCCAAAGCTGGTGCCCGAGCTTGCCAGCAACAGCGCCGGGCACAGCGCGTGCAAGAAGGGCGAGCAGTGGCAGCAGGCTCTGTCGCTACTGGGTGGGTGGCAAAGCGAAAGCCCGATATGCCATCAGCTACAGCGCTAGGATCAGGGAGTGCGAGAAGCGCGAGCTACTCTGCGAGGAACGGGAGGCGAAGCTGGAGCTCGGGCTTGTCAGCATCAGGGCTGGGCACAGCGTGCGCGACCAGGGCGTGCAGCGGCTACAGTCTCGTTCGCTCCCAACTAAAGGGAGACGGCGAGGCCAGAGCCCGATGCCATCGGCTACAGCGCGGGGATCGGGGCGAGCGAGCATGGCGAACGGCAGGTAGCTCCGATGATACTCTGCGAGATTTGGGAGGCAAAGCTGGAGCCCGATGTCGTAACCAACAGCGCTACAGACATCCTCAGCTACACAGCTGGGCACAGGCCGTGCGAGAATGCCGAGGCGTGCGAGAAGGACAGGCAGTGGCAGCAGGAGTAGAGAACGGATGCGATCCCAACGACATCAGCTACCGAGCATCTGAAGCGTTGGGACCAACTCGTGCGAAGCAGGCTCAACGGTACGCGTGACAACCGCGGGCACGCAGTGGAGAGCAGACAGTGGCCGCGGGAGGGGCAGTGGCAGCATGCAGCATTTCTGTCGCTGCTCAAGTGTTGGGGGATCGGGCGAGCAACGTCTCAACTACAATGCAGGGATCAGCTCGTGCGAGAAGGCCATAGCCGCATGCGCAAGCGCTTCCAGCTGCAACCGTTGCATAGTCGGGCGTGGGAACAGCCCGAGCGTCTGTGGGTGGCCTCGGTCAGGCAAGTCGCAGGCGGTTTGTCGACCGCCCATCCCGCTCTCACCCGCTCGAACCATCATCCATCCATCCTGTCCTCCACCCACTTCGCAACACTGCCATCCTCGCCGCATTCGCGCGTTTCATCCTTCTCGTCCTGTCTCGCTCACCTCCTCCTCCTCCTTCTCCTCTTCCTCCTCATTCTCCTCCTCCTCCGCCTCCTGCACCGCCTTCTCTTCCTCCTTCATATGCCATCCTCCACCCTCCATGCTCCATTCTCCTCCCTCCATCACGCTCTCACTGCCTTCCCTCCTCCTTCCTCCGTACTCCGCTCCTTCTCTATCCCCTCCGTCATACACTCTCCGTCCACCCCGCCCTGTTCGACTGACTCTCACTCCTCCTCTTCTGCCTCCTGCTCCTCCTCCTCCTCCTCCTCCTCCTCCTCCTCCTCCTCCTCCTCCTCCCTCACTCCCTCCCTTCCTCTCTCCCTTCATCCTCCCTTCCTCCTCCCTTCCTTCTCTCTTTCCTCTCCTCCTCCTCCTCCTCCTCCTCCTCGCCCCAGGGGGCAACGATGAGGAGGAGCAGGGTGGGAGT